CACTTCTGGCTTTTTTCTTTTTGCTTATGTGGTGCTGAGGAATCGAACCCAGGGCCTCAGGCATGCAAGGCAAGCGCTCTACCACTGAGCTACCTTCCCAGCCCCTAATTCACATTTCTCACACCAATATTTCTGCACCTGGCTGAGCAGCCTCAGGCCGTGGGTTGTCAGGGTTCCCAAGAAGATGAGAAAAAAATGCAAGGTGAAGGTGATCATCAGCCTAAGGTTGGGCTGCCCCGTGAGCCTGGGTCATGTCAGCATCCGTCAGTCTCTTTGATCAGGCTTCAGATCACCTGATTTCACTCTCTGCTCAATATCTGTCTTCTCAGCTAGACCTGAGTTACACGAGGCCTGTGGGACCTTCCTAGGGTGCCAGCAGCCTCAGCAGGAGTCAACACCTGGGCACCAGCCACTTCGCTCTGGATGGCAACTTTCCCAGGATCCACCCTGGGGCTGGAATGGGACTTATTCTTTTGCTCTGCTTCATTCATTCCTGAAGGCAAAGCTCTACACTGTGTCTTCACATTAGAGCAAGACCCCCAAGCCCTTTTTCTTTTCTTTTTTCTTGTTGGTATCTGTGAAATTGTACCCACAGACTATGACTAAGAATTTCCACTTACAATTGTTCCACTTTTAGTGGAACACCATTTGCAAAAGCAGAAGACTTGACAACTTAAACATCCAACAACAGAGACATCAAATAAATAAAAGTACATCTATTCAGCCTCCTCAGTGCCAAGACTACAGGCATGCACCACCACACCTGACACGGCTACATATATACTCACATATTTATTCAGTTTTCTGGAAGGCTGGCCAAGAAAGTTACAGTCATATTGGCTCAAAAGAGAGGAAACCAGAGAATGAGGAGACATGAAAGCAGAAAACAGATGAGAGGAAAACTTAAATTTCACTCTACATCCTTCCTTGTGTACTTTGAATTCTTTCCTATATGAGTACATTGCAAAAACAAACAAACAAAAAACCCAAACCTAAAGCCTTGAAAGGAACCATATCAATTACTTTTCTTTTTCTTTCTTTCTCTTTTTTTGGTCAGTCATGGGGCTTGAACAGTGCCTAGGTACTGTCCTTGAGCTCTTCAGCTCCAGACAAGTGCTCTACCACTTGAGCCTGGTAGTTATTTGGAGATAAGAATCTCAAGGGGACCTTCCTGCTCAGGCTGGCTTTGAACTTTGATCCTCAGATTTCAGCCTCTACAGTATCTAGGATTACAGGCATGTCCACCAGCCTCTTGCTTGCTTGCTTACTTGCTTGCCAGTCCTGGGGATTGAACTCAGGGTCTAGAGACCATCCCTGAGCTTCTTCTTGCCCAAGGCTAGTACTCTACCATGTGAGCCACAGCGCCACTTCTGGCTTTTTCTGTTTATATGGTACTGAGGAATTGAACCCAGGGCATCATGCATGCTAGGCAAGCACTCTGCCACTAAGCCACCTTCCCAGCCCCTCAATTACCTTTCTACATGTAGCATCTATTCATGACCATCCTTTTGAAGGCAGCGCCTTAAAAATACTGCCTTCAGCAAACAAAATGGAGTGCCCGTCACACTCTCATTGGCCTCCTGCTCCCAGGAAAGCCCTCGTCTTCCTGTAGGCTTCTGGGACCAGGTTAGACAAGTCTATATTTTGTTTAAAGTCAAAGCAAGAACACTGTGTTCCCTGACAACATCTCCAAATTCGCAGTTGTATGGAGTAAATAAAAAAAATAGTTTACCTTTCAGTGAAGGTATCAAGTTTCCCCAACTCATCTGAGAGACCAATAAGAGAATCCAAGGTCCCCACCTGGAAAGACGGCACAGAAGTTAGAGGTGAGCCTGTGTCCTGCCCAGGAGAGGCGGCGTCATTTCAATGACAGGGCAGGGTTGGGTTGGTTGATTTGGCCATCAATAACCAAACTAGAAAAAACTCTTGAGGAGTTTTTTGGGCTTTTCTTTTTCTTGTTCCTGGAGCTTGAACTCAGAACCTAGGCACTGTTCCTGAGCTTCTTGTGCTCAAGACTAGTACTCTACCACTAGAGACACAGCTCCACTTCCAGTTTTTGTTTTTGTTAGTCGGGGGTGGGGAGGGGGAGAGTGGCTTGAACTCTGGGCCTGGGCACTGTCCCTGAGCTCTTCAGCTCCAGGCTAGTGCTCTACCCCTTGAGCCACAGCACCACTTCCAGTTTTCTGAGTGGTTTAATAGAGATAAGAGTCTCATGGACTTTCCTGCCCAGGCTGGCTTTGAACCATGATCCTCAGATCTCAGCCTCCTGAGTAGTTAGGATTACAGGTGTGAGCCACCAGCGCCCACCCCAGCTTTTTTGGTAGTTCACTGGAGATAAGAGTCTCAAGGACTCCCAGCATGGACTTTTTATCTTATGTCTTACTTATTTGGGGAGGTAGAGCCATGTGGATAAACAATCACATCTCTTCCACAGGAAGGACTACTATGTCACGGTCTGACCTCCGCTCATTTTCCTATAGCCAAAGGGATATACCAGAAAGCAAGTTTAACAAGTTATCATTTCTAAAAGCCTTACTTCTCCAAGACTGTCCAGCCATCCCTCCCTCTGTTCTCTTTGGCTGCTATTGACACTGACCTTGTAGCTCTCTTCCTCCTTCATGAGTAAAGAGCCTTTGCCTTTGGGGATTATTTATGGTCTGTTTCTTTGTGCAAGAGTGATTGTAATGTCCAAAATTATACTGAAAGGTCTTTGCACAGGAGAAGCAGAAAGAAAAAATTTGCCATCATGTGGCACCAGCAACTGGACATTAAAAATGAAGTAAGACGGGTGCCAGTGGCCTGTAATCCTAGCTACTCAGGAGGCTGAGATCTGAGGATCATGGTTCAAAGCCAGCCTGGGCAGGAGAGTCCTTGAGGCTCTTATCTCCAATTAATCACCAGAAAACTAGAAGTGGCACTGTGACTCAAGTGGTAGAGTGCTAGCCTTGAGCTGAAGAGTTCAGGGACAATGCCCAGGAAGGAAGGAAGGAAGGAAGGAAAGGGGCATGGGTTACATAGTAGCCTCGTGCCTGCCTAGCAAACACAAGGCCCTGAGTTCAAACTCCAGCATTACACCCCCCCCCCCAAAAAAAAGTGGGAAATGGGAGTATAGATCAGTGGTAGAGCTTGTGCTTAGCATGTAAGAAAAATCCCTACCCTGCCCTAAAAAAAGCAATCAGTGTGAAGTTGCTTCAAGGAACTTTTGGTGCTGTGCTGTCTCCTCTGACCTCTGCGCCCTCTGGCGTGCCTGGCTCCCAGGTTACGCGTGGAGGCTGGCCTCGCGAACCTCACAGTGTCTGCCTCTGCACAAACAGTGACAGGCTTCAAAGGTGGCAAGACACGAGTTTGGAACCTGCTGCTGCCACTTGCCAGCCCTGCAGGCCTCGTGACCACACAGCCCCAGCCGCACCAGACCCAGCCAGAGGTTGTCGAAAAGACTTCAGACCATGTATTTCAGAGCTCACACAGGGAGAAATGTCACCAACAACTACAGGGCCAACTGCAGTTTGGGGGCAGAGGGCAAACTGAGGCTTGAAAGAGGATCTTATGGGCTGGGAAGGTGGCTCAGTGGTAGAGTGCTTGCCTCCCATGCATGAAGCCCTGGGTTCAATGCCTGAGTACCACACACACAGAAAAAGCCAGAAGTGGCACTGTGGCTCAAGTAGTAGAGCTAACGTTGAGCAAAAGAAACTCAGGAACAGTGCCCAGGTCCTGAGTTTAAGCCCCAGGACTGGCCAAAAAAAAAAAAAAAGGATCTTATAACAATTCTCCAGAAGAGTAGACTCTGGGTAGCTGGGGCCACCTGGCCAGCGCCCAACAGTGTTATTCTGGTATGATCTAGAAACATTCCTTCCTTCATCCTTTCTGTCCCTTCCTTTCTTCTTTTCTTCCTTCTTTCTCTTTCCTTTATCTCTTTCTCTCTTTTCTTTCTATTTTTCTTTCTTTCTTTCTCCCTTCCTCCCTCTCCCCCCCTCCTCTCTCTATGTATGCCAATACTGGGGTTTGAACTCAAGGCCTACATGTTTTCCTGAGCTTTATTGCTCAAGGCTAGTGTTCTACCACTTGAGCCACAGCTCCACTTCCAGCCTTTTGCTGGTTAATTGGAGATAAAGAGTTTCACAGACCTTCATGCCCAGTATGACTTCAAACTTCAATCCTCAGATCTCAGCTTCCTGCATAGGCAGGATTACAGGCATGAATGACTAGTGCCTTTTTAAGAAAAGTATACATAACTTGCTCTTCTTCACTGTTACTTCATCTTAGTTTTTCCATTCATTACAGGAATCCTAAGCAGCTCCTGTGCTTCCCAAACATTCTGCCACTCTACCACGTGGACCTACCCCACGCCTCTCCAACAACATCGGGACAATCCTCAAAGTCCCAGCCGGCCCCAGGTCCAGAGGACAATCAAGGTTAATGGCCTCCACGCCTGCACATCAAAAGTACAAGGCTAGCTGGGCACCAGTGGCCCATGCCTATAATCCTAGGTACTCTACAGGCTGAGATCTGAGGATTCTAGTTCAAAGCCAGCCAGGGTAGGAAAGTCCTTGAGACTCTTATCTCCAATTAACCATCAAAGCCACCAATGTGGAGCTGTGGTTCAAGTGATAGAGTACTAACCTTAAGCAAAAAAGCTAAGGGACAGTGTCCAGGCAGTGAGTTCAAGCCCCGGTATCAGTATAAACCAACCAACCAACCAACAAATAGTATGTGATTGGTCATCTAAGATGTTGCAGACAGAGCGGCTAGAACACAAGGGCCTAAATTTGCATAGTGCCTTCCACTTTTTTGGCCTGCAGTCCACTCCTTTCCTATGGCTTTAAGTGCCTATGTGCCGCAATGGGGACTAAATGGTGACATCCCATTGTAGTGACAGCCCATCACCTCTGTGTCCATATTCCTTCCCGCTCAGGCTGGTACTTAGCATTCCGGCCTTTGCACTATTATTGTTTTCTCTGATTTCCCAGAGGCCATTTCCTGGGGCAGCAATCTCTGTCCTCCCTCAATCCCTCCCCCCAAACAGCCTACATCTTTGTCCTTTTCTCCAAGAATCTTACCTTGAAGTCAGGAATAGCAAACTTTGTGTTGTAGGACAGGTTGGATTTGGAAGTGACAGTATTCATCCTCTCCAGAGCTTGTAAATTTTCCTTATCACCTGGGGCTGAAATTAACCAGAACTCCGACATGTTTCTTGTCTTTCTGGTACCCACTCACCAGGCCACCACCAAGGCAAACTGTACACAAACAGAAACGGGAGGAGAGATGTGTCAGATGGTTTCTGGCCTTCACAACTAATCCGCTCCAGGATCTGTCACTTTTCCTGCTTCTCATTCCTGGTCTCTGACTTTCCAGTTTCCTTCAGATTCTAGCACTCCAAATATCATTATCATCTGCTGATCTCCTTGGGAGGAGCCCCCTGGTGGTGGGGGGAGGGGACCCTCCAGCCCTTGGGGTGGCTCTGCTTGGAGGAGGGGCTGCTTCTTTACATTCACCTTGTCGGAATCCCACACTTTTTGTGGATCACCATAAAATGTGGACTTGCATTAGCCAGGCACCAGTGGCTCATGCCTGTAATCCTAGCTACTCCGGAGACTGAGCTCTGAGGATCCTGGTTCAAAGCCAGCCAGGGCAGGAAAGTCTGTGAGACTCTTATCTCCAATAAACCACTAGAAAACCGAAGTGGTGCTGTGGCTCAAGTGGTAGAGTGCTCACCTTGAGCTGAAGAGCTGAGAGACAGCGCCCAGGCCCAGAGTTCAAGCCCCACAACCGACCAAAAAAAAAAAAAAAAGTCCATGAGACTGTTATCTCCAATTATCTACCAAAAAGCTGCAAGTGGGGGTGTGGCTCAAGTAACAGCACTAATCTTGAATGAAAAATGCTAAGAGTCAGCCCCTAGGCCCTGAGTTCAAGTCCCAGTACTGATGCGCTCCCTGCCCGCCCGCCCCCCCCACCAATAGATCTTAGAAGATCTCTTCTTTAAACAAAAAACCTAAAAATGACCAGAAAGTAGGGAGGGGAGCGGGCCAGGAAATCTGCCCTGGGGGAGGAACCGCGTCTCCGGCTGGGTGATTCCAGGGCTGGCCGCAGTTTCGGTGCCATGCTGGGCCTGGAAACGTGGGTCTGTTCTGTTCCTTCAGGGGAGGGTACACCCGCCTTTCCCGCGCTCTTCCCCGGGTCCGCTGACCCCCCCCCCGCAGTGCTCCCCACATCTGGGGGAGGGAGGAAAGGTCAATAACCTCAGAACAGCAAGAGACCCCCCCCCCACCTCCACCCCGGGTAACTTTTAACTTTTCCCTCTCTCTGCCTCCCGGCCCCAGTCCACGCTGAGATCCCCAGCCCCGCACGGCCCGGCCCGGGCTCCCCCGATGGCCGGGGGTCCAGCTGCC